GTGCGTACCCTCCGAAGCTCTGCCGGTCCTTCGCGAGGGTGGCTGCTGGCGCTGCTCCTGCTGGCGCGTGGTGCCTCCGCGGCGAGGGGCAGACCTCCGACTGGTGGGAGAACCGGCTGCTGGACGCCGCCGGGGCTGCGGGCGCTGGCGCGCGGGGCCGACGTGTGGCGCCCCCGCGACTCCCCCGCGACGCCTCCCTCGGCTGGGAGGGGTGCGCGCGGCGCTGGAGCGGGAGGCCGCTCTCGGAGGAGCTCCGCATCCTCGCCGAGATCCGTGCCTACAATCGCGCCCATGACCCGCAAGCGGCGGCGCGCCAGCAGCGTGGTCGACTCGGCCCCCGGCTTCCTGCGACGGGCCACCGTCTCAGCCAGGACCCGCAGCACCTACGCCAAGGCCTTCGCCCTGGTGCAGCAGTTCGCGGCCGGGCGAGGGGCCTCACCGCAGACCATGAAGGAGTGGGACGCCATCCTGCACGACTACCTTGAGATGGAGTTCTTGGATGGCGCCTCGGCGGCCGTCGGTCGCGTCGCTCTCTACGGCACGGCCTGGTCCCTCGATTTCGTCACACGCAACCCCTCAGTGCTGCCCCTCTCGAAGAAGGCCCTGAGAGGCTTCGCCAGCATCCGCCCCGACACCATGCGCGACCCGCCCCCGCTGGAGGCGATCTGGTGCCTGGCGGGGCGGCTGCTGCTGGCCAACACTGTGGACTGCGACCTCGCCTCGGCCTTTTGCCTCCTCGCCTTCGACGCCTACCTCAGGCCTTCGGAGGCCCTCGAGCTGACGGCCGCGCAGGTGATCCCGCCGAAGCGTGGCACGGCCAACCGCTCGTGGGCTCTCGTCGTGGCGCCAGAAGGAGGCAAACCCGCCAAGAACAAGCAGTTTGACCAGGGTGTGAAGGTCGGAGCCTTTGGGCGTTCGTTCGCAGTCGACGTGCTCCAGAAGATGCCCCACCGCGTGCTGCCAGGCACGCTGCTGTTTCGGCACCTCACACTCGCCAAGCTCGAGGCCATCTTCCGCAAGTATGGCGACGTCGACGGGGTCAAGATCACACCGCATTGCCTACGACACGCAGGCCCCCCCCATGACATGCACTACAACGGGGCCTCGCTCGACTTCGTCATGATGCGAGGCCGCTGGACAGTGGTCAACTCAGTGCGCAGGTACGGCAAGCCCGCCAAGCTCCTGCGCCAGCTGGCCAAGCTGGAGCGCACGACCGTCCTCGAGGCACCGAGCCGCGCCGCCCGGCTCCCGGGGGAGGTGCTGTCGCGCCTCGCGGCGCGGCTCTCGGCCTAAATAGTCTCCTCTCGCCCTCGTCCTCCGTCGTGTGCTCCGCTGTCTTGGGTTGGGCGTCTCCCTGGTGTCCGGCGGATCGACTTTCCTCGGCCCTTGGCGGCCTTGGCTTGTCGATCCTTTTGCCGTCCTGCTGGGTCCTCGTTTTGTTGTTGCTCCCAGAACACGACTCGCAGATTATCGGCTGTAGGCAGTTTCGGAACGGTTGCACTCGACGGGAATCGTCTCGCTTTTTGATGTGGCCCAGTGGGGCCCCAGGTACTTCGCCTCCCGTGGAGGCGCTGGCATGGAATGCCGATCGGGGCAGTAAAAAGGCATTGATTGTTGCTCTGGAGCTTTATCAGTGTCTTCATCGGACCGCAGCTCGCTCTCCTCCTCCTCCTCTCCTCCTCCTCTTCTGGTGAGATTGGCTGGGTCTGCCAGTATCAGTTCTTGAATTTGTCGAGCTGCGGTACAGTGTCGTGTTCTGGGAACGGTTGCACTCGACGGGAATCGTCTCGCTTTTTGATGCGGCCCAGTGGGGCCCCAGGTACTTCGCCTCCCGTGGAGGCGCTGGCATGGAATGCCGATCGGGGCAGTAAAAAGGCATTGATGTATGTATGTGTGTGTATGTATGTATGTATGTGTGTATGTATGTATGTATGTATGTATGTATGTGTGTATGTATGTGTGTGTATGTGTGTATGTCTGTATGTCTGTATGTATGTATGTATGTGTATGTATGTATGTATGCATGCATGTATGTATGTGTGTGTATGTATGTATGTATGTATGTATGCATGTATGTATGTGTGTATGTATGTATGTATGTATGTATGTATGTATGTATGTATGTGTGTATGCATGCATGCATGCATGCATGCATGCATGCATGCATGTATGTATGTATGTATGTATGTATGTATGTATGTATGTGTATATATACACACACAAAAAATACGCCCCCCCCCTCCCGGAGGTCCCACACCTCCCGGTGACATCTGCGTTACGCTCCCGGCACCGCGCTTCCCGGCCTCCCGGGGAGCCCCCGAGACGCCCAAGGAGCCCAAGACGACCCCAAGAAGACCCCAGAATGTAAAAGAACGGACCAAGACGCTCCCAAGCAACCCAAGATAGCTTTCAGGCGGCTCTCCAGGCTCCCAGGAGGCCCCCAAGAAACTTCAAGAGAGCTCCGAGAGGTCTCCCAAGAGCGCCTGGAGGACCCAAAATCATGAATTGTCATTGGGTTTTTTTTTGGGTGGGGGGTGTTGGCCTTCTCACCATTACATGCTTCCAACGCTCCATCACGGCCGAAGAGGCCCCCAAGACCGCCCCAAGACCGCTCGAGAGGCCCCCAAGACGGCCCCAAGACGGGCCAAGAAGGCCCCAAGACTGCCGAAGAGGCGCCCAGGACAGCTCTAGACCACCCCAGAACAGGCCCAAGAAGGCCCCAAGAGTGGAAGCACGAGGCTTCCAGAGACCTCCGAGGGGCCTCTGGAACCTCCCAGAAGCCCCCAACACAACCCAGACCCCTGAGAAGCCCCGAAAAATCCCCGACGAGGCCCCAAACACAGCCCAAGAAAGCTTCGAGAGCCGCCCCGAGAGATTCATGTCCACTGTTTTTTTCTATTTTATTTTTTCGCTTTCTCACGTTTTCCCGCTTCCAACGCTCAAATACCGAGGAATTGAAAAAAATGAAAGTCCAGAGATTCCCTTTCTTTCAAGTTCAACAAATGCGCCCCCCCCCCCCCCTCCCGAGGGTCCCACACCTCCCCAGAACATCTGCGGAACGCTCCGGGTACTGCGCGTTCCGGCCCCGGGGGACCCCCAAAACGCCCAAGGACAGCCCACGACGACCCCAAGAAGCTTCCACAACGTAAAAGAAAGGCCCAAGACGCTCCCAAGCAACCCAAACTAGCCTTCGGTCGGAGAGTCCCAGCACGACTCCAAGAGACCTCAAGAGAGCTCCTGGAGGCCTCCCGAGAGCGCCCGGAGAACCTAACATCGTTAATTTTCATGTGTTTCTTCTAGGTCGTTGGCCTTCTCACCATTCCATGCTTCCAACGCTCCCCGAAGGGCCTCCTAAGACCACCCCAAGACCGCCCAAGAGGCCCCCAAGACGGCCCCAAGACGGGCCAAGAAGGCCCCAAGACTGCCGAAGAGGGGCCCAGGACAGCCCCAGACCTTTCAGAACAGTCCCAAGATGGGCCCGAGAGCGGGAGCACGAGGCTTCCAGAGACCTCCGAGGGGCCTCCGGAACCTCCCAGAAGCCCCCAACACAACCCAGACCCCTGAGAAGCCCCGAACAACCCCCGACGAGGCCCCGAACACAGCCCAAGAGAGCTTCGAGAGCCGTCTCGAGAGAGACCGAAGAGAGTAAAGTTGTTGATTTCCGTTGTTTTCAACGTTTTTCGCCTTCTCATTTTTCTCGCTTCCAAAGCTGAAAGACCGAGGAACTTGAGAGAAAAAAAGAAATTCCAGAGATTCCCTTGTTTCCAAGTTGGGACTCCTACTCCCTATCCTCTTCCTCGAGCCCCATCAAGACTTCGGGGTCACACGCACTGACTTTGTCAGGAATGTTGCTGAACTCTCTGATGCTGTCTTGGCACTCTCTTGGATCTTCGTCGCGTCCTTCTGTCTGCCCCTGATACCACCGTAGAGATTGAGACCCCAGGATCCCATGAGATGAAACATAAAATCCATGTTGTCAAATTCACCCCCTGCTTGTTTTTGCACGAAGACCCCGAGAGGCATCCCAACAGACCGTGGCCTGCATCCAGAAATCTTCTAACCCACAACCCAGGCACAGTAACTTGAAAAAAGGGAAATCCCACAATTCCCTTCTTGTCAAGGTCGCCCCAGTGTCTCCTCTTGCACAACAGTCCACGATTAAGGCCCCCCTCAGCTCCCAGAAAAGAAACCAGTAAACCTTTGAGGGCGCCAAATCGGAAATTAATGATTTCCGCGGTTCCGCAGTTCCCTCCTACACGGTTCCGAGGCTTGCGCAGGGCCTCCAAGAGTCCCTGCATGCAAGAAGCGACAAACAATCCGTCCATGAGTTAGGCCATCAAGCCTAGCTAGAACTTGAGCGCGCGCGGAAAGCGCGCGATGGTTCTAGTGTGTTACATATATGTTTTATATATATATAGAGAGAGAAAGAAAAAAAAAGAGGCATGTGTACATACATATATGTATATGAGTGTGAGCATTCAGATGTGTAAATGTGTAAATAGGTATTGCATGTGTTATGAAATGGTTATGAGTATACATATACATATATACAGGTATGCATACGTTTATACAAAAAACTATACAAATGCATATACGTGTGCATGTACAAAAAATATACGTGCGCATGTACACACAGTCATATGCATATCATCTGCAAGCACATGAACATAAACATGTACATGTGTATAGACATATGCATATGCGTATACATATACGTATACATATACCTACAGTATGTGTACATGTATATATATAATCTATATTTATATATATATATATGTGTATATATATATATATGCGTCCTCATCATCATCATATATATATATATATATATATATATATATGTAAGTGCCCCAAACCTCCTATGGGTGGACCGGAGACCCGGGAACTCTCCAAGATAGCCCCCAGACGGCCCCAGAGGCTCCAAGATGGCCCTGGAGCCCGCCCAGACGGCCACAGAGCGGCCCGAGAGAGCTCAAGATGGCCCCAAGACCCCGAAGAGGCCCGTAGCCGTTCTGGCTCAAGGGCGCGCACGAGCGGCGCCGCCCTCGGCCCCGCCCCGCCCCCCGCGCCCCCCCGGTGATGGACTTCGCGAGGGCGCGGTTCGGCAATGGAGGCTACGCGGACAATGGCCCGGCCATGCTGCGGATGCTGCTGCCGATCGCCGAGGAGGCCCTCCGGGGCGCGACGGCGGGGGAACCCCACCAGGGGCTCGCGCCCGGCCCAGGGGTGCTGCCCCAGCCGGAGAAGTTTTTCTTCCGGCCCCGCACGGGAAAGATGAACTGGCGGCTGCTGCATTCGCTCGACATGGACCGCGTGATCCGCGAGGGCGACGTCGACGTTATCCATGCCCACCTTGAAAGCCTCACTTTCGCCAGATTCGGATCCGAGGACTTGGAGACGACAACCGACGAATGTATTATCAAGGTCGTTCAGCTTTCCCAGCTGTGCATGGAGTACCTGTCAAGCATGTGCAACTCGTCACGGCAGATGTTGTCTGCATTGGTAGAGCAGGTCCGGCTGCAGGGCGCGAAGTGTAAGTCCCTGGAGGCCCGCTGCCGCGAGGGCAGGCGCCACCAGTCTGCGCCGCGCAGGCAGAGCGGCAGGAGCCTGTCCAGGGACTACGACAGGCGGGGCCACACGATGGCATGCAAGTGCCCGCACTGCTCGAAGAAGTTCCAGTCGGAGCAGTACCTGCACGACCACATCGCGCGGAGGCACCCCGCGGAGGCGTCCCGGACGCTCCACGAGCCGCCGGCGGCGCGGCAGATAGGAGCCGTGCAGGTGGACGCTGTGACCGCCGAGGTGGCGCGGGCCCTCGACGGGGCCACCGCGAGCCTGAAGGAGCAGGTGCAGGCAGTGCAGGAGGACTTCGCCAACAAGCTGTCGAGGGTGCAAGCGGACACCCAGCAGGGATCCGAGCAGCTCCGGCGCGACATCGGCAACCTCGAGCAGCTGATGCGCGAGGGCCTCCAGCGGGCGCCGGCCGCGGCGGCGGCCGCGCCAGCGGCGGCACCGGCGGCGCTCGGCGGGGAGCTGCTGCAGACAGTGGAGAGGCGGCTGGAGGAGCAGGTGGCTCGCGTGTCTCGCGTCCTCGAGGAGAAGCAGAAGGAGCTGCTGGAGGCCATGCACGCCGGTCGCGGCTCCGCCGCCTCGGCCCTGGATGCCCAGCTGCAGGAGGCCCAGCAGCAGCAGCAGCAGCTCCAGCAGCAGCTCCAGCAGCAGCTCCAGCAGGAAGCGCAGCTGCGCGCCGCGCTGGGGCAGCAGCAGCTGCAGAACCGGCGGGCCGTCGAGCAGGTGCAGCAGATCGAGCGCGACCAGCAGGCCGCGAAGCAGCGCCTGGAGGAGGAGGTGCGGCGCACCCTGGACCAGCAGGCCGCCGCCGCGGAGGCCGACGCCGCCATCGCGAGGGCGGCGGGCGCCCGCGCGCGGCCGGGCGGCCAGGAGGCCGCGCCGCCGCCGCTGCCGCCCCCGGCTCACGCGCCGGAGCAGGCCTGAAGTCGGGCCTGTCCCTCTACAGGAGGAGTGTGCAAAGAGAGTCTAAGAATAGGCAGGGGGGCGATTTGTCCATGATTTGTTTTGCGAGCATTTGGGGGGCATGCCCTGGTCCGTTCTACCATTCGTCCAAGGTCCGCCTGCAGGGGGACATGCCCGACCTAAAGAAGGCCCACCCGGGCCTGAATCGATCGTGGACCTCGCCAGCGCGGCAGGGGCCCGCGCCTGTTCGCGGCGGCGCCGCTGCCCAGGACGCGGCCGCGGCCCCGACCAGGAGGCCGAGCCAGCCGAAGGCGTCGACCTCCTTCGACCTGAAGGAGGCCGCTGCGAGTGCCAAGCTGCGGCGTGCGAAGTCGTCGGGCGGTCGCCTGCAGAAGCAGGCGGCGGACGACGAGCAGGAGTCGGCGTCCCTGCTTTGCGAGCTGAGCGAGCTGGGCGTTACGGCCGGCAACGAGAGCTTTGCCAAGGTCGAAGAAGAACAACCGCCGTAAACACAACCTTTTGGCGCTCGGGGCGGATTTCTTGGATCCGCGCTGCCTCCCCCCCCCCCCCGGCGCCTCTGGCCCCGCCCCTGGCGCGCTCCGCACGCAAGGAAGGGGGGCCAGCGCGGATCCAAGAAATCCGCGCGGAGCGCCAAAAGTGTCTGTTTCTGGCGTTCGTTCTCCTTCTAAAAGGTGTTGGAGGAGGGCCTGAGCGAGTTGAAGACGAAGGCGGAGAAGGAACGCTTCCTCGTCTCCATGACGCAGGAGCGCACGCGGCCTGTGCTGCCGGATGGCAAGACGAAGCTCCGCAGGTTCGAGAAGGCGTGGGGGGACAGGCTAAACCCGGAGGATTCCCGAGACGAGTTCAAAGTCGACGTGCCCGAACCGCTGGCCAAGGGTGGGCGACAGAAGAAGGGGACACCGACGAAGGAAAGCAGAGAGGGCAAGGAGCAGAAGCCGGCGGCGCAGAAGAAGATGAACGCCAAGCGGCGAGAGGAGGTGGCACGCAGCGCTCTGAAGAGCAGCCTCGGGGGCTTCCTGCAGCGGTGTCGACTGGACCCCGACGCGCCAGCGGCGGCTGGCGAGGGGTCCTTCGGAGGCGGCCGCGCCGACCTGCCGGCGGCCGAGGCCCGGGTCGGCGTGCACGCGTCCACGTACGCGTCCGGCGACAGGGCTCCGCAGCACATGCACGCTGCCGCCAGCTCCTCCGGCGGGAGCTTCAGCTTCGGCGGGCAGCGGCGCGAGGGCGGCGCGCGGGGGCCGCCCCCGGAGCCTGGCCCGGAGCCGCCGGAGGCGCTGCACCAGTCGGCGGAGTTCGGCAGGCTCCCCGCAGGCCGCAGCCCTGCACCGGGGCCGCAGGCCTCGCGGCAGCCCGACCTCGACGTGACGGGCGTGAGCAGCGTGCCGCGCCTCCAGGAGGACGAGGCCCAGCCCCTCAACGCCTCGGTCGCCAGCAGCTTCGGCTTCGACCGCGGCCACGGCATGGACGTGAGCGGCCGCAGCCTGCCGCTGGCCAGCGCCTCTGGACTCCCCGCGGACACGTCGCAGGCGCACGCCTTGCACGCGAGCGCCGTGAGCAGCGCGCCGAGCCCCGCGGCCCCCGCGGCCCCGGCCCTGCTCGCACGCGGGCCGCCCGCGGGGAGCTTCGGCTCGGGCAGCGCCGGCGGCGGGGCTGGCAGGACGCCGGCGGAGCAGGCGCAGGCCCGCGCCCTCGACGCGAGCGCGGCGAGCTCCGTGGGCGGCGGCTTCGGCCCGAGCGCGGCCTCTGGCGCGGAGCCGGCGCGGAGCCCGGGGCGAGGCGCAGCCTCGAGCCCCGGGGGCGGCGCGTCGTTCGGGAGGGCGCCGGCCGAGGCGGTGCAGGCCTTCGACGCCAGCGCGGGGAGCGGCGCCTTCGGCGCCGTGGAGCAGCTGCAGTCCTTCAACGCGAGCGCCGTGAGCAGCGCGGCTGGGCCGGCGTTTCCGGTGCAGTCTGCGCCCGGGTCGTCCCCGGGCGGCGCCGTGCAGCCCTTCACGACGAGCGCGCTCAGCCAGAGCGCCCTGCGGCAGGGCGACCAGCCGACGCCCGGGACGGACGCCACGCAGCCGCGGCAGTTCGGCGCCTCGCCCGCGCCGGAGGCCTCCTTCGTCGACGGGCCTGGGCGGCGCCCCTCGGCCGAGCCGCGGCCGAGGGTCGGGCTGCCGGCGGGCGGTCCCCAGGGCGGCTTCCTGGAGGCCGCCTCGTTCGTCTCCGAGGCGTCGGGCGGGCCCGCGCCCCAGCAGCCCGCGGCCGCGCGCGGGGGCGCGCGCTCCAACAGCCCGGCCACGGTCTTTCAGCCCAGCGGCGGCGGCCTGGGGGCTTGGGGCGCGCCGGCGCCGTCGCCGCAGGCGCCGCAGGGCTTCGCTGCCCGCCGCGGGGAGCAGGACCTGGCATCGCTCGGACGTGTGCATTTTTTTTTCGGCGAGGACCATGGAGGAGCATCCTTGATCAGTTGGCGAAGAAACCACGCACGAAACCGAAAAAAACACAGGAAATGGACGTCCGAGCGATGGCCAGCAGGACCTGGGGCCGATGGACCTGAGCCAGAGCGCAGGAGGCGTGAAGCCCTTCTCCCCGACCAGCCTCTCGTCCGGCAACAGCCCGCCGCTGGCGCCGGCCCGGAGGGACGCCCCGGCGGCGCACCAGACCCCCGTGGACGACATCGTCGTCGATTCCGACTTCGACTGAGCCGGAGACGCGCACTGCCCGTGCCGCCGTCCGTTCTCTCCTCCATGTCTGTAGCGACCTGCTGCCGCTGCCCCCGCCCGCCGCGTCGCTCTCCTTGTCCCTCTCGGCTTCTTCTTCCCTCGCCCGAGGATTATACTCTCATCGTCCCCGTGCCTGTCCTTGGTTCTGTTGCGTCTTGCTCCCTAGCGCGAGGGGAGGCGTAGATGGATTCGTTCCATCCTCTCCCTTCCCAGGACAGGCGCCCTCCCCCTGAGGCACATCGTGCGAGCTTTGAGCCTCAGATTGCTGCGATCTCGCTATCGCACTGTATGGACTGCGCGCTGGCGGAATTACTCTGCAGACCAGCGCGGGAGCTTGCTGGTTGCACGTCGCATGGTGGAAAAAAGACCCTCAAGAGGCTCGCAGGAGGCTCCCGAGAGGCTCCAAGGAGGCGAAAATTGTTCAACAAAATACGAGGGGAAACCACTGGTGTGTTTCAAGATCTTGCCTCATCGCTTCGAAGGGTTATGATGTTCCAACCTACTTTAGCCTTGATCACCAGAAATAACTTCGAGCACCAGAACTTCAGTGCCGAAACTCTAAAGTTTTCACGCGTCGGGCCCTGTGAGACACTCGTCCGACACTGTTTCGACACTCTTTCGACACTTTTCCGGGTGCTCGAAATTACTTCTGGGATGTGGTCGTGGGCGGACAGAACCCACACCCTGACACGTCGATCAGTGAATTGTCCGTTTTCGGCTCTCGAGAGGGCGTCGCGGCCGTCATTTTCCAGTCTTGCGCCCGCCGGGTGTGGGCCCGAGGTCGTTTTCACTAAACCACGTTTTACTAAAGGGGGTTCTGTCCATCCCCGATGTTCGATGGCGGCAAAGAGGGGGGTGATGACTAGGGGGGGGGATATCATGGCGGGGGCCATGAGATCTCCCCAGATTTCACGGCGCCTCTTCGTATTGCATTACGTCCCTGGCCGCACATGCCGCCGGTCATGATTTGCACCGCCCCCTCTTGGACGCCCCCCTCCTGGCCGCTCCCGAGATGTGGCCCGTACGCACGCTGGGAGCAGCATCATCGGAGGGGCCTCTGAGGCCTCACGGTGGTCCGACGGGGGGCCCGTCGAGGAGGCCCGGGGGCGCCCCGAGGCGGCCGAGGGGAGCCTCCCCGGCCCCGCAGGAGGGCTCCGAGACGGCCCTCGAGACCGCCAAGACGGCCCACGTAGCCTCCAGACAGCCCCACTCTTGTGGAACTCGATTAATGGAGAGGAAGCATGCTGCCCAATCATTTCCAGGTGTTTCAAACATGTTTTCAAAATGTTAAAAACATGTTTGGAGCATGTTTAGAACATACTGTTCCACAGTTGAAACACATCTTTGATTCAATGATAGGGTTGTGAGAGTGTCCATTGTCATGGCATCCACAACCCTACTCCGGCTTGACGAAAGTTCATGCCCATGTGCTATTCCCAGTGGAGTTCTTTCGTGCTGGCGCGGAAGCGTTTTCCATGCGTCAAAAAATAGGCGGAATAAGTAATCTCCTGGAATAAAGAGTTTCTACCAGTTAGTGTCAGTGGAAGTATTGAATCGCTTCGCTCATTCCGCCGGCCCATTTCGCATGACTGAGCCTCTTGGGGCCGCTGGGGGGCCTCTTCAGCGTCGCTTGGGGCCCTCCTGAGGGCCTCTTGGGGGCTTTGAGGGCCTCTCAGGGGCCTCTTGAGGCCTCCTGGGGGCTTCTTAAGGCCGAGGGCTCGAAGTTTTGTTTTGTGTCCCCCCTTGGGGCATCGCTTGGGGCCCTCTTGGGCCCCTCTTGGGCCGTCTTGGATGCCTCTGGGGCCGTCTTGGAGCCCTCTTGGGCCATCTTGGGGCCTTCTTGGGAGCTTCTTGGGCCCTCTTGGGGCGATCTTGGGGGCCTCTTGGGCCGTCTTGGGGCGTCGGGAAGCCGAAAAGATGGACACGCCAAAATCTGCCCAAAACCTAAGGAAAAGTAATGAATGTTGCCTCTTGGGGCCCTCTGGGGAGTGCTCTTGGAGGCCTCTTGGGGCGTCTGGGGGCCATCTTGGGCGTCTTGGAACGATCGTGTGGCATCTCGGAGCACTCTTGAACCATCTTGGAGGGCTCTTGGCGGCCTCGTGGCCCTTCTTGGGGCTCTCTGGAGGGCCACGGGGGCGGCGCCCAGGAGGAAAACCATCTCTGATCCGACCCTGCTTGGGATCACCCGGGGTACTTTTCGTCTGGGGACCCCCAGGGGCCGCCCCGCGCGCGCGAAGTAGAAGTATTATTTAGCAGTTACCGGAGATCTTAGCACGCCTCTGGCCCGTTGGGCCGGCGAATTTTTTCTTCCGCCGCAGCTGCGCCATCGCGGCGCTTTGTTGTCTTGGTGTAGGAGTCTACGGGGGAGGGGCATCGCAAGTCTTGCGACGTTGTCGCCTTCATTCGCCGCGGCAAGAAAAATGGGCCAAAGTATTGTTGCGGCGGTCTAGACAGCTGAAGATGCCCCCCCAAACGGCCCCAAGAGGTCCCCAGGAGGCTCCCAAGAACAGCTTCCGAGAGGCCTCCAGGACACGACAATCATTGGAAGATTACGGAACTAATGGATGTATCGAGAACTCGCCTTGTCGCTGCCGAGGGGCCTCTCAGGCCTCAGGATGGTCCAGAAATGGCCCACGAGGAGCCCAAAATCTGGCCAAGACTGTCGACTGGGGCCCCCCAAGACCCTTCAAGATGGCGCCGAGGAGGTCGAAGATGGCTTCGAGACGGCCCTCGAGCTTGCCAAGACAGTCCCGGCTAGCCTCCAGACGGCCCCAGGTAGCTCAAGATGGCCCCCAGACGGCCCTTGGAGGCCCCCAAGAGGCTTCCAAGAGGCCCCCAGGAGGCCAAAACCAGTCAAAAGAGTTCGGAGAACAAGCGTTGTTTGTTTAAGGTCTCGCCCGTTCGCTCCCGAGGAGCCTCCGAGGCATCAGCAGGATGGTCCGGGAATGGCCCTAGAGGAGCACCAATAGAGGCTCCAAACTGTCGACTGGGGCCCCCCAAGCGCTTCAAGATGGCTCCTAGACGGCCAGACATGGCTTCGAGACGGCCCTCGAGCCCGCCGAGACGGTCTCAGATGGCCTCCAGTAAGCCCCAGACAGCTCCAGATGTCTCCCAAACGGCCCCTTCACGCCCCCCAGATGCTCCCAATACGCTTCTAAGGGGCCTCCTATGAAGACAATGTCCTTCACTCCCGATGGCCCGTACAAGCCCCAAACACGCAGCCGGCATGATGTTTTTGGAGGCCCCTCCAGGAACATCATCCGACGGCACGACGACCACGATAATGATAATAGTCTTCGTGACGAAGTTCTGACTAACTGCTTGGAGGATACAGATGGTGATGATTGTGATGATGATGGTGCTGGTGATCGTGACGGTGACAGGATTGGCATGATGCTGACGATGATGTGGGTGCTAATCATGATCGTGATCATCATTATAATGCTGGTGGTGATGATGATGATGTTGTCATGGCCAAGATAAGGATGATGATGCTGGTGGCCATGGCAATAATGATGGCGATAATGATGGTGATGTTGCTGCTGGTGCTGTTGATGCTGATGTCGATGCTTATTATGATCATGATCATGCTGATGATGTCATCATGGCTATGATGGCGATGGTGATGGAAAGGATGATGACGACGCTCATCATGGTCGGCTGGCGATGATGACAATGATCATGATAGTGATCACGGCGATGACTATGATGATGGTGATGATGATGATGACATTCTGGCAATGTGTTAACGACGATGATGACGATGATAATGATGATGATAATGATGATGATGATGACGATGATGATGATAATAATGATGATGATGATGTTGATGATGATGACAATGATGACAATGATGATGCTGATGATGATGATGACGATCCTTACGACACTTCTCGAAACGCCCCCAAGCGAGACTCTAAGACACCCCAAGAGACGACTCTCACGGGCACGCCGGGAGCTTCCACAGACAGGCCTCCCGAGGGCCCGTTCCGAGCCCCCCACGCCTCGACGGTGCTCCCCGAGGCCCGCACCCGACCTCATGCTGCACTCCTTCCCTCCTCCTCCTCCTCCTCCTCCCTCCTCCTCCTCCTCCTCCTCCTCCTCCTCCTCCTCCTCCTCCACTCCTCCTCCTCCTCCTCCTCCTCCTCCTCCTCCTCCTCCTCCTCCTCCTCCTCGACGGCCCGTCCGAAACCCTCACGCGCAGCAGGCCTGATGTTTCCGGAGGCCTCCCTGGGAGCAGCTGGTCGACGGCAAGACGACGACGTTAATGGCAATGGCAATGCTTATGACGACGATCTGAATGTTCATGGTTGCGACGTCAAAGAGGACTACGATGACGATAGTGATGATGACGACGACAACGTTGATGATGATGATGATGATGATGATGGTGATGGTGATTGTAATGGTGATGGTGATTGTGATGATGGTGGTGGTTGTGATGATGATGATAATGATGATGACAATGATGATGATGATAATGATGATGATGATGATGATGATGATGATGCTGATGCTGATGCTGATGATGATGATGATGGTGGTGGTGGTGATGATGATGATGGTGATGATGATGATGCCGATCCTTACGACACTTCTCGAAACGCCCCGAAGCGAGACTCTAAGACACCCCGAGAGATTCTCACAGGCACACTGGGAGCTTCAACAAGTCTCCCGAAGGCCCGCTCTGAACCCCCCACGCCTCGACGATGCTCCCCGAGGCCCGCACCCGACCTGATGCTACACTCCTTCACTCTCGACGGCCCGTCCGAAATCCTCACACGCAGCAGGCCTGATGTTTCCGGAGGCCTCTCTGGGAACAGCTGGTCGACGGCAAGACGACGATGTTAATGGCAATGTTTGTGACGACGATCTGAATGTTCATGGTTGTGACGTCAAAGAGGATTACAAAACGATAGTGATGATGACGACGACAACGTTGATGATGATGATGATGATCATGATGATGATGATGATGATGATGATGATGATGATGATGATGATGATGGTGATGGTGATGGTGATGGTGATGGTGATTGTAATGGTGATGGTGATGGTGATTGTGATGATGGTGGTGGTTGTGATGATGATGATGATTACGGTGATGGTGATGATGATGATGATGATGATGATGATGATGATGATGATGATGATGATGATGATGCCGATCCTTACGACACTTCTCGAAACACCCCGAAACGAGACTCTAAGACACCGTAAGAGACTCTCACAGGCACACTGGGAGCTTCAACAAGTCTCCCGAAGGCCCGTTCTGAGCCCGTTCTTGATGATCTTGATAACAATGGTTCTAATGTTGATGGTGATTGGTATGATCATGATACTGCCCCCACCCCAGG